AAACTGTGATCTTGACTTTCACTCCAAAACCCAACACATCTGGTGACTCAGTTTCATTTGCTCAATGGACTCTTCTGAAAAGAGACAACTTTGCTTCTCTTATGGAGGCCTTCCCAGTTTGGAGGAGATGCCATGTATCATCTGGTGAGTTTGGCATATCACTGCTTGAAAGATGCAGCATTCTTAGAAAACTAGCAAAGCAAGATTGGATGTAATTTGCTTTTCTCTGTTTCTGACTGGTTCACATCTGCGCAACTTGGAGAGGACTCCAAGAGGAAATTCCTTGGTTATTTTAAACCAAATCTATAGATGTAGGCCAATAGTGTTGGAAAGGAACTATTTCTTGAAGAAGAAAGAGTTTGTTTTGCAACTATTTGGATGTCTGGACAGGGGCAGGGTTGTGTTAAAAAAAATTATGATCCTTACCTGATGGCATGATTGTGGCCACTATCTTGAATTTTTTGACACATAACCTTGTGTATTTGGTGTTTTTTTCCCCCAAAGGACTAACTGCTTTTTTAGTCCTGTTTGGAAGCCACACTAGATTAAGATTAAGACAAACTGGCCTCTTCATGAAATAAGTGGACAACAGTATCCAATTTAACTTACATACACGTGAAAAAGTCAGCATCTTGATCTAAAGCTGGCTGGAGTAATGCACTGGGTGAGAGTTAATCAGCACCTTAATCCACAAAAGGCACAGGTTCTGTTCAGCAGTAGATTTATTTGTCAATTGGTTTTCATCCTATTCTAAGGGTCACATCTTCAAAAGCAGTGTTGCTCAGTTTTATGAACTTTAAAGTCTTTCCCAGGTATCTGTTCCTGGCAAGACAAAAGTAGGTGACTGCTGAGATAGAGCATTGGTAGTGATGGTGTCCCATTTGTGCAGCACCAACTCCAAATAATTTTGCCTGGCATCCGTATTATGGTCTCTTAAATTTCAGGCAAAGACCTTTTTATTTTCCTGTCATTTTAAGAACCATTCTGGCTTTTCCAACTTAACTATTTTATTGCCCCTGTACTGTGATTTTATGCTGTAATTACAACATAAAATAACTGCAGCTGATCCTGGTTTTTATTTTACAAGTAGTGCTCTTTTCCATACAGATGTTATTGTTTTGATTGTTTTTATAGTTGTGCTTTTCTACAGTTTTTATATACTGCCCACAAAGCTCCCACTATCAGGCTGTATAAAGGAACAATAAACAAGAGTTATAATTGCAGATTGCTGTATGGTTAAAAAGAAATGTCTAAACCGCAGTCTGATTCATAGTGTGCATTTGTACAACATGACAAATGCATTATGATTTAGAGCACCATATCTTGTTGGCAAAGTTCATCCACCACACCAAGCCATGATACTCACATAATGTCTGAGTTCACCTAACTAGTTTAATCCAGCCCATTTCAGTTTTACTGCCAGTCTAAATACAAAGCAGTGTCTCCAAGGGCCAAGGATCTCTTGAAAATGACTCATTTTTATTAAGAGTAATTTTGACCAATTGTGGAAAGAGGTCAAGCCTTCTTGTAGGACTGTTTATTAGCCACAAGGTGTCAGCCGCATTCTTACTTTTTGGAAAAAGTAAGCTGTGGAGTTAGAATGACAAAATGCACAATTGGGAGGAGAACATTGTGGTCGATTGGAACAAGGAAATCAAGGCGGTGGTTTAGAAAGCCAGGAAAACTATAGTTGAGTAAAATTCCTAGGTTCTCGGACCAGCCTCCATTAAACAGAAGCAAGAACTTCTGCCAGATTTGGATCAAAATATACTAGACCAAAGGACCAACTCCCAGAATACCTTGTTTCAGACATGGTATTCATGTTCCCATACCAGGAGCAAGACATCTTTGATATTTTTAGCTGTATTGATGATAGTCGTATTTTCTCCTGATTTCTCTTCCATACGAGAGCAGCTTCAGATCATATAGAATTGGTTAGCCTGTCCTCCATTTGGGTATTGCCTAGGTTTCAAACAGGCACAACAGAGGCTGAGCAAAGACCATCAATGTGAATATATATCAGCTGGGTGTAGTATTCTACCGATCCAAGGAGTGATATGCATCCTTGAGCTTCTACTAAGACAGCAGGTTGGACAAGAAAACCTCTAAGGCCCTTTCCAGGTCTGTTATTCTGAACACAGTTAATAAAGGATTTCCCAATCTTGGCAACTTTAAAATGCATGGACTTCATCTCCCAGAATTCCCCAGCTTGCATGGCTGGCTGTGAAATCCTGTGAATTGAAGTCCGTGCATTTTAAAGTTCCCAAGGTTGGGAAACTCTGTACTAATAGGAGACATAAAAATGTAAACAAATTCACTGCTCCCAAATTTGGAAGCTTTGTATGGTACTCGGGGATGTTACAGGGAGGGTCAGAAAAGTCAAGATGGTATCCACAACCACACAATTATAGCCTGATCCTTTTCTGCTGTTGCATGTACAATGACCACAAGGAGGAAATCTGGCTTTAGTTGTGCAGTTTGGCAGTCCTTCTGACTATTTTTAACTCCCTCTGGGGACATTCCGGTTAGTACTGCAACCAGCAGCTAGAAATAGGCCTGCCCTCCCGGAATTAGTTTAACCCCTCTTTAAAAGCATATGCTCCTGTGGCAGGAAGTTCCCCAAGTTACTTCAATACAGTCTCAACATATGACCACGACTGGGACCAGTATTTCTGTTCTAAGCAAGGCGGTCGTTAAGTAAGTCATGCCCAATTCCACGACCTTTTTTGCCATGTTTAAATGCTATGCTATGCTGGCTGAGGAATTCTGGGAGTTGAAGGTCCACAAGTCATAAAAGGGCCAAGTTTGAAGACCCCTGTTTAAGTGAATCACTACAGTTATTAAATGACTCACGTGATGATTAATCAAATCCAGCTTCCCCCCATTGACTTTCCTTGTCAGAAGCCCTCTGGACAGCTACCAAATGGTGATCACATGACCCCAAGATTTTGCAGCCATCATAAATACATGCCAGTTGCCAAGTGCCCGAACTTGATCATGTGACCACGGGGTTGCTGCAGCAGCCATAAATGTGAGAACCCATTGAAAGTCACTTTTCTCAATTTTGAAAGGTCACTAAATGAATGCTTGTTAAGTCGAGGACTGCCTGTAAGTCTTTTAGTTGTTGTTCATTCCAAATCGCTGCCTACTAATGCCACTGGGTAAGCAAACGTCTCATATATTTTTTTAGTACAGGTAAATAAAAGTTCTGTGTATTTATAGCTTCATTAATTTCAACAATGCCTTCTTTCACCTTAAATCAAAAGCTCTTTTTACCCTTTTTTTCCTTTGCTCCATCCTTCTCCCTTTGATCATTTTGGCTGATATTTACAACACTTTCCCCAGCTTTGGTCTTTATAACAAATGACTTGCTCTTTTTGTCTCTGTGCTGTTTTCCTTGCTGAGAAACAGAGAAAGACTAAGGTTAGAGAGAAACCATGGTGAGATTTCTCCAGCATGCCCAGTTACAGGCTGGGTCAATTGTAGTCAAAGCATCTTCCCTGGAAGTTCCTCCTTTCTAAAGAACAGAGGGGCTATTCACAATCATTGTCTCTTCCCCTTTTTGGTTTCTTTTAAAAGGAATACAAAATGTGATGTAAGCAGGCAAACAAGAAAAGGTCTTTTAAAAGCTGTAGCAGAATGAAGTACAGAGCCAGGGTAATTCAGTTTCAGATATGGAAGGGACCTTGGAGGTCTTCTAGTCCAACCCCCTGCTCAAGCAGGAGACCCTATACCACAGTCTCTTCTCAAAAGCCTCCAGTGATGGAGCAACCACAACTTCTGAAGGCAAGTCTGATTTATTGGTTAATTGTCCTCCCTGTTAGGAAATTTCTCCTTAATTCCAGGTTGCTTCTCTCCTTGATCAGTTTCCATCCATTGCTTCTTGTCCTATCTTCAGGTGCTTTGGAGAATAGCTTGACTCCCTCTTCTTTGTGGCAGTCATCAAATATTGGAACACTGCTGTCATGTCGCCCCTTGTCCTTCTCTTCACTAGATATACCCAATCCCTGCAACTGTTCTTCATATGTTTCATTCAACTATAGTCCTCGAATTATGACAATTGGAACAGAATTCCTCTTGCTAAGCAAGACAGCTGTTAGTGAGTCACGTACGACTTTATGACCTTGTTAAGTGAATCACTGCAGTTGTTAAGTGAATCACAGTCATTAAGCAAATCTAGCTTCTATTAACTCTGCTTGTTGGAAATTGGCTGGGAAGGTCACACATGGAGATGATATGACCTGGGACACTGCACCTGTCATAAGCACATCCTGGTTGCCAAGCACCCAAATTTTGATCATGTGACTGGGGGGAAACTGTGATGGTTGTAAGTGCAAGGACCTGTAAGTCACATTCTTTAAAATGGATGCAACTTTGGTCACAAAATGAACAGTTGTAAGTCATTGACTACCTGTATCCCTTGTGTCACAAACTCCTCAGGTAAATTATGGAGAAACCCTGCTGTCACATAGCACACTAAGCCAATGCTTTTTAAATTTGTCGATTTTAAGATGTGTGCAATTCCCAGAATTCTCCAATACACACATTAAAGTTGCCACTTTTGAAAAAAATCTGAACTAAACCAACAACACATCACCACTCTGTAAGAATCATCTTTCTGCTCCCTTGCAAGGCCAAACAGAAATGAGCAATCCAGGGTAATTATAAAAAATCATATTATTCAAAAGTTCAGACTAAATAACAGCTTCAGCATTCTTTTCAAGCTCATAAGTCGATTGGAACTGCGAACAGTCACTAAATAAACTGTTGTAAGTCGAGGACTAACTCTATTCCCAACCCGCCAACCGAACGCACTGCTTCAAGATGTGGCGATGGATTCCAGGAACTCCCCTCTCCGCCCGTTCAAAGCCATGAAGCCCAGGGAACAGCGGGGACCCCTCCCTGAGCCATCCACATTTGGTAAGCTGGGATTTCCCAGCTCCGAGAGACACAGAGCAACCGGTGAACTGGAGGGCAACCTGGAGCGCCGTGCAAAAGACACGTGGGCACCGCTCGGCTCCAGCCAAGCTGCTTTTCGGGTGGGTCCGCTGGCGTCACGCTTATTGCTCCCGGTCGCCAGCAGCAACGGCCACAAACAGAGCTCCTGCCGACCCCCTCAGCTCTCCTCTCCGTCCGCCCACGGCCCACCCTTCTTCCCCTCCTCCTTCTCCGGCGTTTTAGCGCCACACCCAACTTGCCCTCCCGCCTAGACCCACCCAACCCGGGCGCTTCTCGTCTTCTCGGTCCGACGAGGAGCATCTTTTGCTAGCTCGCCTCGCCCCGCGCGAGGAGGTTCCGTCGGTGCAGACTCTCCGTCCGCCCGCCCTACCGCCTTGGAAGTAAGACAGGGGCTCTGGGAGAAGAACAGCGGGGCTGGGGTGGGACGGGGGGAGTTCAGAAGGAGTTCAGGCAGCCGCGGGGCGGGGCTCTTAAAAGTTGAGGGGGAGAAAGAAAGAAAAAAAACACAGTGTGTGCAACTGAGGGGCGTCCAGAGTTTAAAGCCACCCTTTCGGTGTGGCCTTAGTTTCCTGCTTTCTGAGGGGAAATTTAAAGAATTAAAGCCAAATTGGGCCGGGGGAGAATATTTAGGCTAGAAATGGGAGGGGGGATTGCTGAGTGTTTATGAGGAAATGAGGTGCATTTGTTGAGCTGCCCCCCCACGCACACACGCGACCTTTTTGCAGAGCTGCTTTTCGAGGGAGTTGGGGGAGGTTGCCGTATCAGAGTGCCCCATTCCGGATTTTTCCCTTTTGCAAAAAGAAAAAAAAAAAGGCCCCGCCCCTTGATTTAATTTTGCAGCAGGAGGCAAAACCAGGGAGGTATTGTTTTTTGTTTTTAATGGGGAGACGCATGCATTGCCAGTGTGGCTTTGGCAATCGGGTGTGTCTGTGTTGTTCCAGGGAAGTGTGTGTAACAGGCTGTTTTAATGGAACAAATGAGCAGCAAAGTGTATAAGCAGGGGTGTCCAACCTTGACAACTTTAATCCCAGGGGAATTCTGGGAGTTGAAGTCCACAAGTCTTGAAAGTTGCCAAGGCTGGATACCCCTGGTTTATAAAAAAAAAAAAAAAAGGGGGGGGGGAGCAAAGATTTCAAGATAGTCCAGGCCTGATTTCTCCATAAGGAAATTCTGAAGAGATTTTGAAATGAACCTAGCTCAAATGGTGCCATCCACAGCTTTATTACATAATTTACAGGTTTACAAACAAAATCTGTGAAAACTTTTCTTCAATGCATTAACTAAATAGATCCTTCAGATTTAAAGGCAGTATAATTTGAAATAACTGTCAAAGAATAACAGGAAAAAAATGTGCAACCTTGTGGTTGGCCAGTAGATGAAAATAATGGGTGCCCTTAAAAAAACCTTTGTCTGAATAGAGTTAAGGGTCCCATTTCCCCCCTCCCCCAAGAATGCAGCTCTTTTGGTACCACAAACGTTTTAATTAAGGGAGATGTGTCTGTCTCTCTATTAATACTGTACTGCAATATTTTCTCAGGACAAAAGATCAATATTTCCTAAAGCTAGTCTGGTGAGGCAAGGATGTTGTAATGGATCCTAGGTGTGGCCCACATCAAGACTGAAGCTTCATCTAAGTGTGTCTTGAGTGTTGTGCATGTTACAATTCAAAGCACAATCTGGGCAGTATTTAATGAGAGCAGAGGATAATTGTACAGTAGATGGGACACTATGGAATAACAAAATGTGTATTGCTGTGTTGTTGAATACATTTTTCTGTAAGGAGAAGAGAGGTATTTTACTAAGGGGATGTATCTATGTGTGACATGATTGACATCCATAAGTTTATGTCATGTACTTCATTGTGAATGCTCCCAGTTCACAAGATGCTTGATAGTAGGAACCATTATGTGTATTTTTAAAAAAAATCTTATTTTTGCAGAATGCATATTTTTGCCTTAGTTACCCTTAGCCTATTTTTGGTAGCATTATGACAAAACTCCAGAAAACAGAAATCTGTACTGTAAAGATTTCTCCTCCCTGCTCTATGCTGTTGTTAGTTGTTTATAATATAGTAACACTTTCGGCTGATAAGCATTGTTTCTTTTTTAATTCATCCCCACTTCCCTAGTTGGTATTGCAATATGATTACTACATAACTATTGGACTAAGACTATTAGATCTAGGCTGCAAAAAATCCAAACAAAACCATTAGATGGCAGCCAACAGTTACATTTTTTAGATTTCTTTGCTGCCATCTATTGGTCTTTCAGAGTTTTGCAGCCCAGTTTGGTAGTCTTTCTGTTATCCACTAAGGCAGAAAATTTCAAAGATTTCCAGGCTGTGGAACCTGTTTGTTAAGATTTTTTTTTTCCTGGAATCCTTCAATCAAGAGACAAAGCTTTTGTGATAGAAAATAGACTGTGATTGAGTGAGTGAACTTTTTGTCCTCTTAATTTCTTCTGGAGCTCCATCAAGTTATTACGGAATCTTGGATTGGGAAGAAAAAAGTTTGAAAAACCTTGCACTACTAGAGCATGATGATGCTTTTTTAAAATATTTTTTTTAAAAAAATCCCAGCTTTATTATTTTTATAAATAACTCCAGATGGCGAATGTATGTGATACTCCTTCCCCCTCCAATTTTCTCCGTAACAACAACCTTTTGAGGTAGGCTGGGCTGAGAGAGAGTAATTGGCTCAAAGTCAATTAGTGAACTTTCATTCCTAAGGGAGGAACTAAAACTCACACTCTCCTGGTTTCTAGCCAGGTGCCTTAACCACTGCAGGTAGTCCTTGACTGACAACCATTTGTTCAGCAACCATTCAAAATTACCACGACATTAAAAAAGAGAGTGATAACTAGTTCTTGCACTTACAACATTGCTATACAATGCTGCAGCATTCCCACAGTCACATGATCAAAATTGGGGTGCTTGGGCACTGGCATGTATTTTCAATGATTGCAGCATCTCAAAGTCGTGTCATCGCCATTTGTGACTGTGCCAGCTGGTTTCTGACATGCAAAGTGATTAGTTTAACAATTGTGGCCAAAAAAGTAAAACCAGGTGTGATTCTCTGCCTTGTCTAGCAGTTGAAATTTTGGGTCTCAGTTGTGGTCTTAAGTTGAGGACGCAAACATGCACCAGCAACATTCCATTCCATGGGGCAAAACTAATAGATTTTTCAACAGATTTTCCAAAACATTAATTCTCTTCATACAGTCATATGTACAGAAAAATAACCTTTAAAAATCTAATGCCATGCTTTGGAAACGGGAAATCATGTTTCTTTAAGGATAGATAAGAAATCCCTTGGGCTTTGACAGTAAATAATAATAACAGCTATTTCTTGGCTATTGCAACTGAAATCTGTTTAATCTGTTTAATTTATAAAATATATTCTGTAGTTTAATCTACAAAGCAACAGTTCACGTAAAAGAAAGGAGTGACCCCTTGGTATCACAATCTTAGGAATTTTAAGATGTGTGAACTTAACTCCCAAAATTTCCCAGCCATCATATCATACCTCTTAATGTTGATAATTTTGAGAAACACTGATCTAGAGAGATGCAAGGATAGAGCTTTTAGATACAGGAAGTCCACAATTTAAGATTGGTCACTTGGCGACCATTCCAAGTTAAGACAGATCTCCCCAGATTACAAGCCAAGAAATTACTACCAAGCATCTTCCACCCCCACCCTGTGATCAATTGATCACATTTTGATAGCATCCATGTCTGTCTGCAGTGTTCTGCAATTTTTGGCCTTTTAGTTAGTTTTTTTTTTTTTTTGCTGGAAACCAGCATTTATTTCTGATTTCCAACAACAACAACAAAAACCCCACTGGGTATAATGGGTTTGATGGCTTTTCCATTTGCTTAATAACTGCTGCTTAATGACCATGCAAAAAAGATAGTAATTGGGTATGGTCACTAATGAATGACACAAATTACTACTGTAACTCTGGGCTCAATTATGGTTGCAAGTCGAGGATTACCTATATTCTGAATCACTTCTACTCATCACCCAGTGTTACTTTTCAACTCTCATTTTATCCAGTGAGTTCTGCTCTTTTCCATTTCTTCTGCTTCTGTGGACACAATTCTGGGGGGGGGGGGTTTAGGGAACAGGAAATAGGAACCACCTCCTCTAAGATTCTGCCTCTCAAGAGTTTTCTGTACTTGAAACAACGCTTCAATTGTATCCTGCAGTGTGTAAGAAGTATTCCTACACCCTGGGCGTTGCCCTCTCTTCTTCGCTCAAGGCTTTTTGCACCAGTGCACGGTGGCTGAATATTTTCTCAATAACTGTCAGCATTACTACTAGTAAATGCAAATTTCAATCTCTCTTTTTCTCTCTGTCCATGAGGATGTCCCTTGATTAGTTGTTTATCCATTATTGTTCAGATAGCAGTTATATTTTCCTTTACATTCTGCTCCTGTTATGATGTTCCGAGGCAGCCTTAAAGTCACTGATGAACTTGACTTTTGCAGGTTCCTTCATCAAGTGTATGTACATCTTTGAATGTATTTTGCAAGGTGAGAGAATGAATGCAGTAAAATTTCATGTAGAATTTTGTTCTTGTTCTACCTTCAGCATTAAATCGAACCTTTATTACAATCATACACCAGCAAAAGAAGGGTGGGATACAAACAGTAATTTAAATGCATCTTACAGGAGAGGAATGGAGAGAGATGTATATATAATTTTACCTTTGGTATTGGTTAGAGAGTGTGCTTGTAAAAAAATGTTAAGGTTATGAATCAACTCAAATGCACAGTAGCGTCAAATTGAAAACAGTCTATTTATTCTAGACGGCTCCATTGCAGGCTGCAGATCAAAGGTTACAAGTCTGAAGTTATCAAGAAAGCTCTTTGTATAGTTAGAAGCAGCCTGTTGAAGAACATTGATAAATCCTACCCTCATTTTCTTAGTGCAAAGATAAGGAAAAGATAGCAGGATTCATTCAGGCAATTTGTTTTTCTGTCACCTGAAAAAAAAACGACATTGCCTAACAGTTTCTTCCTCTTGAGTTGACTGTGTGCAAAACAGCAGCTTGTAGGTTAGTCTGGCTTTGTAAAATCTGCTGTTCTGTCATCCGTGTCCCCCTGTAGTCCCCAGGGAAGCAGCATGGCTGTGTGTGCCTGGGTAGGATAGGACAATCTTCCGGCCTCTTGCAAAATATCCTCTACAGTTACACAGTTTCCATATAGTGAGTGCTAACAGGCAATTAAAAGCCATTTTACAATTTACTTTCAAACATCTCTCTCTCTCTCTCTCTCTCTCTCTCTCTCTCTCTCTCTCTCTCTCCCCCTCTCCCTCTCCCCCCCTCCTTTTCTGCTCTTGCTCTCCTTTTCTTCTTGCCATACACAGAGAGGACAAGGCTACCCTACCTATCACTTGCAGCCTACTGAAAGGAACTGCTTGGAAACATTTCTCACTTTGGAGCTGACAGGAAAGGAAATCCTTGCTTCGGGATTTGCAGGAGGGAAAAGGAAGGGTGGGCTGCATTTTTTGGGAGGTGACTCAGAAAGGAGACAGTGAAGCTGGCTTAAAGCCTGGGATTCCTCCCTCTCTCTCCTCTCCTCCCCCCCCCACCCTCAGCTCAGAAGCAGAGCTTGATTAAAACCAAATGTCCAACATTGGACAAAGGGGGATTTTCTCCTGCCCTTACATGGATAACACAGTTTTTCTCCTACCCCTCCCTTGTGCAAGTCTCCACCCTTTCTCAGCCCTTGTTGCTGTCCGTGCATTTCAACTTCTGCAGGAAGTAAATGTTTCTCAATTTTCGCTTGAAAAATAGCAATTCCCATTGTGTGTAATGTAATTGTGAGACACAGACAAATTGGGGTAACTATCACCGGAAATTCTTGTCCATTTCCCAATTGCGTCTTATTTTGCCACAGACCTAATAGGAAGGTGCTATATCAGCTTTGGGTGGGCAATATACCACTCAGCTTTCTCCAACCTCTGCGTCTTTTCGACTTCAGCTTCCATTATTTATAGCCAACTCATAATATATGCTGTGTAAGCCGGGAAGATTTATCTCCATTTACAAACGGAAACAGCTTTATTTTGTACGTTGTTACTAGTTTGTACCTATTTTAAGCCCATTAGAAGACTTTTCTTGATCTGATTCCAAACTGGGTTATCCAGTGAAAAATGCAGGGCAATGGTTTGAAATAGAGGCAGGTTTTCTTCCAAGAGCCAGACAGCAAAAGGAAGATTCAGCCGCTCTAGGCCAACTGAGAATGATAGGACATATAGTGACAAGGGGTTCTGCTGTGAAGTTGATGTGAAGCCTATTAAATATATAAAATGAGATGCCCTTGCCCTGTGGGTATGTGAGATCCAGAGAGGATCCCTTTGTGGTGGGTGATCTTAGATGTGCAGATCCTTTTTATGACATGCAATTGTCTGGCATCAAAGTGGAGCATTTGACAGAAAAGATTTATCTTGAGGAAATTCCATTTCTCTACTGGAGCCAGAGAGGTGAACTTAATCAATTTTAGCCCAAGGGTCATCTGCCAGGCTGGGGTAATGTTTAAGTTAACTGAAGTTTATCAAAGGAGTTACAAGTTACAATTTTTGTAAGTGTAACTCTTTAATTACCTCAGTAAAATGTTGGGTCAATTCTAGATTCTATCTCCTATTGAGAATTTTGCTCTTGAGAATCTTTACTTGCATTTAGTGAGCTAGCAAATCTGAAAAAAAAAGTACTGCAAATCAAGATAAGAACTATATATTATCTGGAGAATTCTAGTTATAAATCCAACCCCCATAGGAATAGCATACATAAATAACATAAATGAATTATAAACTTCAGAATAGACGGATAAAATTAAATTGTCTATGTTTAGTTGAACTATCCTCTTTTTCCTTTGTAGATTTTGATGTCCAACAGTTGCTATCACAGGACATAGGCATCTGGCTGGTGAGCTTTCTGAGTCTCTGGAGCAGGGGTGGGCTAGTATGGGAATTTTATGACCTGTGGTTGACTCAGGAATTCTGGGATTGAAGTCCACAAGTCCTAAAGTTGCCAGAGTTGCCCACCCCTGCTCAGGAGGCTAAACTGTGTGAGGAAAGGTTAAGGGAACAAGGCATGTATAACCTAAGAAAGAGAAGGGGTAGGGCAGGGATGCAAGAGCAACCTTGGCTCTTTTATGACTCGTGGACTTCAACTCCCAGAATTCCTGAGCCAGCCATGCTGAGGGGAAAGGGAGAAGTTTCCAAGCTGAGCCATACTGGCTCAGGAATTCTGGGAGTTGAAGTCCACGAATCATAAAAGAGCCAAGGTTGCCTACCCCTGGTTTAGGGGGTAACATGATAGCTGTCTTCTGAAATTTAACGGACAATCTCATGATGGAGGGGGTTGACTTATTCACCAAACCACCCGAGGGCTGGACAAGAAGCAGTGAGTGGAAGCTCATTAAAGAGAGATCCAATCTGGAATTAAGGAGAAATTTCCTGTCAGTGAGAATAATTAATCAATAGGACAGCCTGCTTCCTGGAATTATGGGTGGTCCATTATTAAAGGTCTTCAAGAAAAAATTGGACAGCCATTTGTCTGGGATGTAATAAGGTCGGCTGTGGGCAGGGTGTTCAATTAAAATAGCTCCAAGGTGCCTTCCAGCCCTGTGATTCTTTAATTCTCCAGACACTGGACTAGATTTCATATGTAGATAGGCCTCAACGTATGACTGTTCACTTAGCAACCATTCAAAGTTACAATGTACCTCCCCGGGGCTACTTATGATCCAGATTCAAAGTTCTGATGGCCTCCACCCATCACATGATCGCATGTGGGTTGTATTTGCAGCATTCCATGATCACGCGACCAGGATTTAGATGTTTTTTTGCCAGAAAGTGGTGGTTACTTCCGGTTTCAGCAAAAAAAACAAAAAAAAAACAAAAAAGCCATTGTGGACAGTGGCATTCCCTTAATGACCGCTGCAAAACAGGTCTATAAAATTGGGCAGGGTCACATGCTGATCCACTTAATAACCAGCACAATTTATGACCATAATTCTGTGCTCGGTTATGGTTGTAAGTTGAGGACTATCTGTAATCCATCCTGACTGGGACTGCCGTCGGATCATGTCCAATGAAAGCTGGAGTGATACATTTCTCCCATCCCTGCTCTCACTTCTACTGTATTCAGGAGACAATGGCACATAAATTAGTCTTCCTCAATTTGTAGTCCTGCAGTTATTTTGGATTATTACTAGGGAAGAATGGAATTCTAGTTGGGAATGGTAAGACGGGGAATCAACTTATTTAAAGCTGCAGGGTTGGAGAAGGCTACTGTCAAACACTGGGGAAATCAGGTGATTCAGGCAGTTCAAATGAATATAAAGATTTATTACAAGCTTAAACTCTGCAATAATTTGACCAACTGGCGGTTAAGGGAAATGAGCGGGTGATAAGAGAGGCATTCAAGATAGGCTGGATATAGATCTATTGTGGGCACGCAGGGACTCATGACTGATGATGCGTTTGACCCCTCCCTCAAGCTAAGTTTGGTTATCTCTTACATCTGCCCACTATTCTATATTCCTTATCCCTAAATTTAGGAAATGTATTCTAAATTGTATATTTTCATGTGATAAAAGTTTTGCATTATGTGTCTTTCTTCTCTTCCTTAGATCTGTGCACAATGCCAGTAACCCGCTCAAAATCGGTGGGCAACACCAGCGCCCTGACCTCTACGCTGGGCATTGTTCGCCTCCTGGAAGCCCTTTTCACCTGTGTGGCCTTCAGCTTAGTGGCCAACCGGAACGCCTGGAATGGCCGCAATGGGGACTGGTGCATGTTCTCCTGGTGCTTCTGCTTTGCCATCACCATTGTCATCTTGGTGGTCGAGTTTGCTGGCCTTCAGCATCGCATGCCGGTCTCTTGGAAGAACTTCCCCATCACTTTCGCCATGTATGCTACTCTGATGTGTCTCTCTGCTTCCATCATCTACCCGATGCTCTTCATTTGGCATCAGAATTTTTCTAATGATGAACGGGGATACCGCATTTCTGCCACTGTGTTTTCTTGCCTAGCCTGTATAGCTTACCTCACCGAGGTCAGCATAACCAGAGCTAAGCCAGGAGAAGTGACCGGCTACATGGCAACAGTCCCAGGATTGCTGAAGGTGGTGGAGACGTTCATTGCCTGCATCATCTTTGTCTTCATAAGTGAACCACCTCTTTATGACCACCCAGAAGCTCCTAAGTGGTGCATGGCGGTCTATTGCATCTGTTTCATCCTATCCCTTGTGGTGATTATCCTCTGCATTGGTGAATGCACTGGCTGGTTGCCATGTCCATTCAACAAATTCCTCAGTGGCTACACTTTATTGGCTGTGCTCATGTATGCCACCGCCACAATTATTTGGCCTATCTACAAGTTTGACAGAAAACATGGGGGACAGCCATCTCGACCCTCATACTGTAGAAGTCCCAACCTCTGTGACTGGGACAAGAATCTTACTATAGCTGTTCTAACCGCTGTCAATCTGCTGGTGTACCTTGGTGACCTGGTGTATTCTACACGGCTGATATTTATCCAGGGGTAGACAGTGGCTGGCAGTAAGGCGAATCAAGGCAGCAGTGCTCAAAAGAAGGGAAGAAGAAAGGGGAAAGAGAGGAAGGGATCATGCTTTTCTCTCTTTTGCTTTTATTTGTTCCTTTCTTCTGTCTCTCTCCTCTGCCTGCAATCCTGATCTAATTCATTTTCTTTCTCTCCTGTACTCTTTCTCTCCAGCCTTCTCAGTTACCTTGCTCTCAGTCTGGATTCATGCTCTGTGCTTGCTACATAATAGTTCTTTTCCTCTCTCCATCCCAGGTCTATTGCACATAATAGCCAAATGATCATTTGTTGTATGCAGAGCTTGGGATGGCTCACAAAGATTTCTGCCTAATCCTCTTTGGCTATTCCCATGCGTGTATCTTCACCAGTATAGTTTGTCAGGAGCTTCAGGGTTATTAATGGTGGTGATGGTGGTTGGAATTGCAGGTGCCAGTCAAGGGAAAAAAAGTCGAGGGGGGGGGGGGCTGCAGTATCCTTGTTGGGGAGAATGCTGTGACGCTCATTTGTTACACTCCAGGATACAGGTAGTCCTCACAGCAATTCATTTAGTGACCATTCAAAGTTACAACAGCCCTGGAAAAAGTGACTTATGACCATATTTTACACTTTAACAACCACTGCAGGGGTTCTCAACCTTGGCAACTTTAAGACTTGTGGACTTCAACTCCCAGAATTCCTCAGCCAGCTTTGCTTTGAGAACCCCTGCACTATAGCATCCCCATGATCATGTGATCAAAATTCAGGTGCTTGGCAACTGACTCACATTCATGATGGTTGCAGTGTCCTGGCCTCATGTGATCCCCTTTTGAGACTTTCTGACAAGCATAGTCAATGGGGAAGCCAGATTCACTCAACAACCGTGTCACTAACTTAACAACTCTGGCAAGAAAAGTCGTAAAATGGGGCAAAGCTCACTTAACAAATGTCTCATTTAGCAACAGAAATGTTGGGCTCAATTGTGGTCGTAAATCGAAGACTACCTGTATTCTTGCAAGAATCCACTTCCTAGCATTTTCCTTAAATTGCTTAGCTTGCAGTTAGGGTTCCCCATTCTCTGCCTTTGCCACCTTGGCTACACACTGTATCCAGACTACTAACTTCAGAAATGCATGCCAACAGCCACCATCAGTCAGATTCAGAGGAAAAGTATGCAGCAAAAATAGGAACTTTGCTAGCCGAAAAGAAGAATTCAGAGCCTTGATGTACATATTTTATTTGGCCTTAAAAATATATATATTCCTCCATTTTAGTGCCTTAAAAATATTGGGTTCCTCCTCTTTCTGTCGTCTTGCAAAGATGACGGAACTCTTTGCCCTTACCAATATACTTGCTGTTTTTCATTATGAATATATAATTTTGGGGGGGAAAGATAGATGTTTACAGTAGAGCCATTGGCTGCTTGCATTTTCCATTGGGATGAATGGGGACTGTACTGAAGTAGGGCTGGAGGGGTGGCTAGCTTTGCACCACTATTTTGGGTTTATTCTCCATGGTTGCTGGGGAGGAATTAATTGTAAATCTGTAATAGAAATCCACCCATGTCCTGCAAAATGACTTATGCAGGAGCTGTTGAGGCTTGCAGTAACTTTACTCTAAAAAAGGCAGAGGTTTGTTTGTTTTTGCTTTCAAAAGTTAACAAAAAGTTGAGGAGATTACAAGGAACACGCTTTGATTTGGGGAAATGGAAAGCCACTTATTTGTGATTACACCAGGCTGAAAGATAAAACAGTAGTGGAGCAGCATTTAAGTAAGAGTTAAACATGTTTGCCTGTAAGTTTCTTAACTTAATAGATTCTTTTACAGAAAAATGGTATAAATGTTTTTCATTACGTTTTGATATTTTTTTAAAGTGTAAGACATCCTCTGTTTTTTAAATAAAAAGAACATAGTAGAAAAATACAAGCTTTGCAAAGTATTAAATACATAACTTTTGGCTTCTTTATGGTTACTAATCCAATATTTTTTTAAATATTCCAAGTACTTGGTATTAGATAATATTGCTTTCCAATTTTGTATTTCAAAACACATCAGTCCTTTCCCATTAGGTCAGCAAGAGAAATTATTTGTATGTATTTCTACTGCATTTACCATTCTATTTTGCCTTTTAAAAATAAAAATACTTGTAATGTCATGCAGTATAGGCAGAAATGTAAGCTTCCTTCTTGTCTCAGTTACATGCAACTTCATCTACAATGTTTTTATTGAGTATTTTTTTTGAAACATGCAAATGAATCTATGTGTACAAAATAAAGAAGCAATGTTACAATGGAGTGTGGCAATCCTATTTCTATCATTTCTGAAGAAAAAAATAGTGCATTTGGAAACCAAGAAGCTGAATAGCTACAGGAATAATAGGCTTTTTTCTGACTTAAGGGCACTTCAACAAATGGACTTTTACACCATTTTGATAGCAGCTGCAGGCTTCTATGATCCTCCAATATTGGATTGTTATTAGAGAGCGGAGCTGATTTATTTTTGGCTTAACTGTTTAAAACTTCAGTAAAAGTAGTCTTTTCATCTCTTTCTCTAACTTTTCAATTTATTTTTGAAATACCGAACTTACAGAATTTATAGCCAGCCCATTTATATATTTATTTGTTAGATTCTTAGAACACTATGCAGCTAGATGATTTACCAAAAATAAAACATCAATAATAATATAATAAAAATATTCATAATCATCTTAAAACAGGAGCACATAAACAGGACTGTAGGTTAATAGTTGCAGGAATTGGATATGTCTAGTTTAATGAAAGGACTAGGGGTGACATGATATCAGTGTTCCAATAGCTCAGGGGCTGCCACAAAGAAAAGGGAGTCAAGCTATTCTCCAGAGCATCTGAAGGCAGGACAAGAAGCAATCAGATGGAAAGTAATCAAAGAGAGAAGCAATCTAGAACTAAAGAATAATTTCCTAACCGAACAATTAATCAATGGAACGACTTGCCTCCAGATGTTGTGGGTATTCCAGTTCTGGAGGTTTTTAAGAAGACATTGGACACCATTTGTCTGAAATGATACAGGGTTTCCTGCTTGAGTAGAAAGTTGGACTAGAACATCTCCAAGATCCCTTTCAATTCTTATTCTGTTATAGTTCCCAAGGCATTACAGAAAAAGCTTCTTGGAAGACTCTTTTTTATTTGGATAATGATAAGTCTCATTCCATTGGATGTCTTCTTCACTCTACACCAGTGTTTTTCAAACATTTTTAAATGAATGGGCTTCTGCTCCCAACATTCCCCAGCTAGGCTGCCTGGAGAATTCTGGGAACCGAATTCTGGCTCTCAAAGTTGCCAAAATGAAAAACAGTGGTCTACAGCTATTTGTTAAATAAATCTATGGTATGCAGTCACAACAGAAGGAGTCACAACAGAAAAACATCTCCTAGTTTTGGCCCTCTGTTCTTGCCATCGATGGGACTGCCAACAATTTGGAGAAATTCTTGCCTGTCCATTTTTTCTAGCTCCAGATCTTGGAGAAGGAAAGGTAGCTGGCCAGCTTTGCAGTTCCTTTTTTATATAGATTTTTTTGTATATGAAGTAAGGCTATAGATGGGAGTACTGCAGTGGTGGGATTCAGCCGGTTCGCACCACTTTGGCAGAACCGGTAGCTAATTTTTTGTTGCACAGGCCCAGAATGGACTTCCGGAAGTGACATCCACATAGAGAACTGATTGTTCACATATTTGAATTCCACTACTGGAGTACAGTATAAGCCTGTGGTGGCGAACCTATGGCACGAGTGCCACAGGTGGCACGCAGAGCTCTCTCAGAACGCACACCGTCACCCCAGTCCTAGACCTTCAGCTGGGTTTTATAAAACTTTTTCACTTTAGGACTCCGCCGCTGTGTGCAAAAAAAAAAAAAAAAAAGGTTCAATCAATCAATCAATTTCAACTTCTTGCGGGGGGGAAAAAAAAAAGATCTCGCAAAGTTGGAATTGATTGATTGAACTTTTTAGTCCCACCCAGTCTGCCATTACCACCATAGCCACGCCCACCCAATGGGCCGTGCCCATCCGGCACCGATGATACATAAATGGGTTTTGGGTTGCAGTTTGGGCACTCAGTCTCTAAAAGGTTCGCCATCGCTGGTATATGCAAACAATTTTCATTCTCTGCAGTATGGGGAAATTTTGATAACCGATCAGTTCCTGGTGGAATAGCAGTGTTTGCTTTTTGTTCTTTGTTTATTTCCAGGTTGGCAAATTTGAAGAGGACAAACTTGAAGGACCAGAAAGCCCCGTATGTGGAAGGGAGTATTTTTATGGGCATGGATTTTCTAAACGTGGCTTAATGAAACACTATTTCCTTCACCATCGGAGGTTCAGATTGTCTTCTGGATTCATGTTTATCTACACTAACAAGCACGTTATAAATCTGGTGCTGATGCTCTGCCATTTTTGAGGCTTCTGGAGTCATAAGGGATCTCTCCCCTGCTGACCCCTCCCACTTTTTTAAAATTAGGACTAGCAGATCTGAGCTGCAAAATTCTGGATGACCTTCTGATGGCAGCAAAGAGACCTATCAATACTGCCCCCTAGTGGTATTCTGTGGTTTTGCAGGCAAGATCTGGTAGTCCAATTTGGATAAGAATTATTAAATTCCTGTCACATTTAGTTGGTGAGGCACATGACATACTCTCAAATTTGCCTTTCTACTTTCCTTCAGTATTCTCCCCTTCCCCCAACAGCTGTGATAATGATTCTTTGGGATGGTTATAGCTGCTGTGCACTTCCACAAAAATGTGAATATATTTGAGCTTTATGAGCTATAACTCTTACTTGACAGGTATGGCTACAAAATTTGTTGGACTAGAGTGGGTGGCTGGAGGAACACATATGTATGTATCTGGAAGGAGCACAAAACTGCTAAAAGAAAGCAAATTGAGGAAGCAAAAGATATCCCTTCACTGTTGCAATCAGGGCAAGCAAAGTATTAATTCTGAAAAGAGTTGAACTTTAGAGGGGAGAAACTTATTGGCAGGAAATTATATCATTTTTGTTAAAAGTGCATATACATCACCATGGAG